TTTTTTTTTCTTTTCTTTTTTTGTTAATTTAGGGTCCTTGTTTTTAATCTTTATGTTATGACTTTCTGAATTCCTTTCTAAACGATCCCTTAAAATCCATCATTTAGCTTGATTTCTTAATGTTTTTAATTTCTTGATCGCTTTTGATAAATTTATTGTCATGTTTAAAAATAGATAAATAAATTTGGACGCCTGTTTGGAAGGTTTTTTTTAACTTCTCTTTTCCTTTTAAGAGAAGTTAGACCAAATAAGTTTTTATAAAAATTCTTATAATAAAGAGAGCTTTTTTTCATAATGAAGGAAAATATCAAAAATCAAAAGCTCCTAAATGAAACTTTTTTTGAGTTGTGTCAGTTTTTTTTAAATGAATAATTTTTAATTTAAAATTTTTATATAATCATCAAATAACTTTTAACTTTATTTTTAAAGTTTTGTTTTTAAGCTATAACTTAAAAGTAATTTTTAGCTTAAAAAATAGATATGTCAACCAGATTCTTGATTGTAAATATTATCAAATTCTGTTCTCATGAGTGAAATTAAAGCCAAAACCACCTTCGTGTTTCCTATGTGATCCGGATATAATATAGGCCTAACCAGGGCCCAATAAACACATGGAAGTCCAAGCCCATAAAGGACCTAGAACAAGGCATAAAAGACAGGCACGGGACGCGATAACCCTATCGCGTCAGACCAGCGCGATGTCCATATCGCGGAACACCAGGCGCAATAGTCCCATCCCGTCATACACGGCGCAGTGCCTCATCACAGCATGCAGGATATACTTACTCCCCACGCAACGGGATACCTTCTACAGACAGTAAACTTAAGGGCCAAGGCAACACCACCGCGCCCTCACACCAGTAAGCAATGGACAGCTCCAGCTCGCCACAACTCTACTAATAGACACCATGGCGGCAAGCTCCTCTACATTTAAACCATGACAGTCACACTACGTTGGCACCAAGGAACCTTTGCCTTCACCATGAAGAAAGGTCTCCTCCAAACACACATCTCGATTACTATATAAACATACGTTGTGCCACCAAGGTACGATCATCCTTTACTTTCACAACATAAACACCTGCCTCTGATACTGGCTTGAGTGTCGGAGTGTCTTCGCAGGTACCCCCCCCATCCGGTGCAACGTGAAGGACGAAGGACAAAGAGCTCAGGCTCATCCCACATCAACAGTACCAGGCCCAGGCCAGTAACCATCTAAGGAGTCTCAACCGTGTGTGATTTGGGCTTGATACGCATTGGGCCAACCCTACCGTACCTGGTTCGATCATTGGCGCCGTCTGTGGGGACCTATATTACCCACCATTCTCTGAAAACATGGTTGAAACTCGCAGCAAATCTCAGAACGGCTCCAAAGGAAAGCAGAAGGAGACCCCTGCTTCCCGTGAAAAATCAGCTTCATCGGTGGCACCAATTACCATCCACCTGGATGACCCACCGACACCCCAACATCTGTTGGACCTCATCACGTTACAAAAAACAAGAAAATTGCCCAGCAAAATCGAGATTTAGCTCAATTGAAAAAAGCTCAAAAGCAAAAAGAAAAAACTCAAGAAAAGGGAAAAAAAGAGAAAAATCAGGAAAATGGAAAAGATATCGAAAATTGTGCAGAAAGCGAACCACTTCATTCGCACTCAACAGGGAACCCAGGACCTTCGGGTCACAAAAATAAAAAAGGTGAAGAAATCAAAGATACTCATGAGAATGAGAATTCCAATGGTCCTTCAAGGACTGTTTCTCGAATTATTCACCCCTTTGTCCCCTGCATTATGAACATCCCAATCCCTCGCGATGTCAAGATAACAACAGAAAAATATAACGGCAAGGGGGACCCTCAAGAGCATCTGGAACAATTCCAGACAAACATGATGGCACAAGATGTCACAGATCCAATGGCATGCCGACTATTTCCTACAACTCTTAAGGAAACAGCCCTTAGGTGGTACTCAGCGTTGCCATCTAATTCGGTACAAAGCTGGGAAGACTTAACCAACCAATTTCTCGTGCGGTTCACAACGAACAAAGCGCAATACAAATCCACTCACGCGCTAAAAACAGTTCGACAAGAGTCGAATGAATCTTTGCACGATTATTTAAACAGATTCTTCAATGAAGCACTTCTGGTTAGAGACTTAGATTCACAAGTCTCACTACACATCATCACTGAAGGCCTTTTGGAAGGACTTTTTTCTATGTCGCTAGCCAAACAGCGACCTCGCACCATAGAAGAACTATGTGCGCGCTCAGAGAAATTTATCAACTTGGAGGATTACAAGTGTTCACGAGAAATCTCCAACACCAGAACCAGTACAAACAACTTCGAAAAAGATATCCAGAAGAATGTCCAACGCAAATTTCGCGAAAAAAGAAAGTGGGGAAAATACGACAGCTACACCCCCTTGAATACATCTCCCAAGCGGATTTTCAAGGAAGTTTTCCAAACAGGGTATGTCCGTGTTAACAAACCTCCTCCTACGTCAAAAGGAGTTCAGCGCGATGAATCCAAATTTTGCGAATTCCATAACGACAAAGGTCACACCACCGACGAATGTCTCACGCTCAGAAATACGATTGAGACACTCATTAGAGAAGGAAAGCTCCAAGAATTTTTTTCCACTTGCAGGGAATACAAGACACAGCAAAAGCGCGATAGAAGCCCTGATCACGACTCGAATCCCAACGAGCAAAGGGCACGTCTAGGAGAACTTATAACTTCACTCGTAACAGTGACCGTAGAGAGGACATAACAACATCAACTGACAGACGTCATAGAACTCCATCAAGAAACAGACAGCAAGGCGCGGGGCAACACCGTGATGGACTACCCAATAACGCAGCAGGTGTTCTAGCCACCATTGTCGGGGGCTCAGCGGGAGGCGGTGCGACCACATCTCAACGAAAGATGCACTTAAAGTCAGTAATGACAGTGTGCAATCACGCACGCCCATCAACCCCTCGCGATCTAAAACAGGCCATCAGTTTTGATGATGATGACTATGGCGACATCATTTCAGACCACGATGACCCGCTAGTAATCTCAGCATGCATGGCTAACCTCCAGGTAAAACGTATTATGATTGATAATGGTAGTTCAGCTGATATCATATTCTAGGATGCCTTTTGCTTGATGCACATCCCAGAAGAACATCTTCTGCATGGATGTTCGGACTTAATAGGCTTCGCTGGAGAATGCGTACAGCCCAAATGCACCATTGAAATGTGGGTCACCTTTGGAAACATGCCTTTAGCTCAAACTATCAAGGTGAAATTTTATGTCATTGAATACGCTTCAGCTTATAACATCATTCTAGGAAGACCAACTATTTCGGTATTAAAGGCAATCATTTCCATGCCTCATCTTTTGATGAAATTCCGTAACAAGTCTGGCACGGTAGTTGCCATTAGAGGAGATCAGAAAACAGCACGCAGTTGTTACAATACCAGTCTAAGAGCCAAGACTCCTGTACATCCTGATGACAAAGGCAAAGCATCGGTAAATATGACCGATCTCGATGTACGCAACGATCTACACGATATTCGTCCTCAACCTGATGGGGAGTTGGAAGACCTCCAGATAGGCCCACTCCCTGACAACACTACCAAAATTGGTCGAAACCTCCAAGAGGCTGAGAAAAGCGCGCTGATAACCGTATTGCAAAATAACAAAGACCTTTTCGCATGGACAACCGCGGACATGCCAGGGATAGACCCAGGGATAATATGTCACCATTTAACCCTGGATCCCAAAGCAAAGCCCATCGCGCAGAAAAAGATAAAAATATCCCCTGAGAAACAACAGGCAGTTGAAGCTGAAGTAGCAAAATTACTTGATGCTGGAGTGATTAGAGAAATCACTTACTCTACATGGCTCTCCAATGTGGTATTAGTTAAGAAACTCAATGGAAAGTGGCACATGTGTACTGATTACACAGATCTCAACAAACATTGCCCAAAGGATTTTTATCCACTTCCCACCATCGACAAGCTGGTCGATAATTTTGTAGGATACCAAATTTTATCCTTTATGGACGCATATTCTGGCTACAACCAGATTCCAATGTTCACACCAGATGAGGAAGCCACAGCTTTCATCACCGAAAAAGCTACTTACTGCTATAACATGATGCCATTTGGTCTCAAAAATGCTGGAGCCACTTATCAACGCATGATGAACAAAGTCTTCAGCCAACAGATAGGCCAGATGCTTGAAGTTTACATTGATGATATGATAGTCAAAACAACGACAACTGTGCAACATCCTCAAGATTTGGAACAGGTATTTCAACAACTGCGCAAATACAGGCTACGGATTAATCCAGCTAAATGCGCGTTTGGGGTACTTGCTGGAAAATTCTTAGGATTCATGCTCACGCATCACGGGATAGAGGCCAACCCTGACAAATGCAATGACATTCTCAGCATGACAAGCCCGCGAAACGTCAAGGAATTGCAACAACTGACAGGAAGAATTACTGCTCTTACCAGATTCTTTCCTGCATCAGCTCAAAAATCATTGCCCATGTTCAAACTTTTGCGCAAGCAGACAGACTTCATCTGGACTCCTGAATGCGAGGCATGGTTCTTGGCCATCAAAGAACATTTGGCCAACCCACCAGTCTTGGTCAAACCTCCACCCAATGAACCCTTGGTCCTATACCTTTCCGTCAGTAATGAGACCATAAGCGTTGTCCCCTTGTGCGAAGAAAATTTGGAACAACAGCCCGTATACTTCGTCAGCAAAGCACTCCAAGGACTAGAACTGCGCTATCAACAGATTGAAAAAGTCGCCTTCGCATTGATCTTAACTTCGCAGCAAAGCACTCCAAGGATTAGAACTGCGCTATCAACAGATTGAAAAAGTCGCTTTCGCATTGATCTTAACTTCGCGACGCCTGCGCCATTACTTTCAGGGGCACACTATCAGAGTCAGGACAAACCATCCTCTTCGACAAGTGCTTAGACAACCTGATTTAGCAGGCCGCATGATCTCATGGTCTATAGAGTTGTCAGAATACGACATCATCTATGAACCGCGACAGGCAATTAAAGCCCAAGTATTAGCAGACTTCTTGGTTGAAATGACACATTTACATGAGGCTGAGGACAACGTCGATTGGATCATTTACGTCGACGGATCTTCCAATATCAAGGGAAGTGGTGCAGGAATAATAGTGGAAAGCCCTCAAGGTATTACAGTGGAACACTCTATCCATTTTGGATTCAAAGCTTCAAACAACCAGGCTGAGTACAAAGCAGTCCTCGCAGGACTCGCCATGGCCAAAGAATTGGGGGCAACAAATATAAATCTCAAGAGTGATTCACAATTAGTAACTGCTCAAGTTCAAGGAAGCTACCAGGCCAAGGAGGCATTAATGATAAAATATCTGGAAAAAGTGAGACTCCTACTGACAGAATTTTGAAGCTATAAAGTGGAGCATGTCCCTAGAGAACAAAATTCACGGGCTGACATTTTATCCAAGTTAGCTAGCACAAAAGGACCTGGAAACAACAGAACAGTGATCCAACAAAGCGTCCCTAATCCTAGCGTCATAATGGCCATAACCAAACAACAAGCTCAACCATTCCAAAGCACGCAATCCATGGTTGAGGATGAATCTATGCCATTGGACGATGACGAAACTTGGATGACACCAATTTGGAACTATCTACTCAAAGGAGAGGCACCACAAGAAACGCGCGCGGCCAAAAAACTAGCGCGCAAAGCCTCATTCTACACCATCATCAATAACCAGCTTTACAAAAAGGGATTCTCTTCTCCAATGCTCAAATGCTTAGATCCCCAACAAGTCAGTAAGTAATCTCTGAAGTACATGAGGGAATTGGTGGACACCACATGGGAGGTAAATCTTTATCTCGAAAATCACTCCGGGCAGGATACTTTTGGCCTACCATGGAAGAGGACTCCAAAAAACATGTGCGACATTGTGTCAAATGTCAAGAGCACGCAGACTTACACCATGCTCCCCCCGAGGAATTATCTTCAATGCTATCCCCATGGCCATTTTACCAATGGGGCATGGACATTCTGGGACCATTCCCAGTCGCCGTCGGAGGGGTCAAATGGTTGTTAGTAGCAATTGACTACTTTTCCGAATGGATTGAGGCAGAAGCGTTAGCCACAATATCAGCCAACAAGGTTCTCCAATTCTTCTACCGACAGATCATTAGTCGATTCGGTGTTCCACACACCATTGTAACAGATAATGGCACACAATTCGTGGACAGAAAATTCAATCAAGTCCTTCAGGATTTGCATGTTAAACACTGATATACGTCGGTTGAACATCCACAAACGAACGGATTGGCAGAAGCTGCGAATCGAGTTCTCAAACGCGGTTTGGAAAGAAGATTAGAAGCAGCAAAAAGGGAGTGGCCTAAACAGTTAGACTTTGTGCTATGGGGATACAGAACAACCAAACACTCAACCACTGGTGAAGCCCTATTTCGCATGGTCTACGGTTCTGAGGCTATGATCCCAGTTGAAATTGGGGAACCATCATGGAGAAAGATGTACACAGACTCAGACAACAATTCGCAGGCATTACTTCATAATTTAGACACGGTAGAGGAAATGCGCGAGATCGCGCATGTCAAGGAAGAAGCACTTAAACAGAGGATTGCAGTGCTCTACAACTTAAAGGTTGTCAAACGAGGCTTCAACGTGGGCAACTTAGTCCTACGCAGGGCGGACATTGGCAATAAGAACGCACGACAGGGCAAACTGGCTGCAAACTGGCTGCAAACTGGGAAGGACCTTATCGCATCTACAGCAAAACTGATAAGGGGGCATATGTCATTGAGACACTATCTGGCCTTACTATCCCACTCACATGGAACGCAGACAAGCTTAAGACATTTTATAGCTAAGTCTCTCACGACTCACACACTGTTATCTTTGAGCTTTTGTCTTTCATTATTATTTCAAATAAAACGAACCAGTTTCCCTTTACTATTGATCAATCTCTGCATTAAGTTTCCAATTTACAGGAAACCTCTCACGGTTCCTATCAACTTACAGGGTTTTCTCACGAATCCTCCAATTAACAGGAAACCTCTCACAGTTCCTATCAACTTACAGGATTCTCTCACGAATCCTCCAATTTACAGTAAACCTCTCACGGTTCCTAACAACTTACAGGGTTCTCTCACGAATCCTCCAATCCACATGACACCTCTCATGGTTCCTATCAAATTACAGGGTTCTCTCACGAATCCTCCAATCCACAGGACACCTCTCATGGTTCCTATCAAATTACAGGATTCTCTCACGAATCCTCCAATCAACAGACTTGTCAACAAAGATCTCCTCAATAGATCACAAGCATACAGGTCGCGATCCCCAAGGATGTATCGTGATCTTTCATGCTCAAACGTGATCGCATAACCAAAGGTATGCAAAAAATACAAATATTTTACAATAAACTGTTTAGACATACAGCATGCAGATATAGTGTTTAAGCGCCATATGGTGTACACACCACAACTCCAACATGAAAAGCATACAACCGCGACACTATGCAGACATGGTGTTCAAGCGCCATACGGCGTACACACCAGAGCGCGGCCTCGTTCACTTTACAGGACTCTATACTTAAAGGATTCCTTTGTAACAAAGCACGACATGCATATGATCGCGGCGCAACATACAAATAGAATACACTTCAGCTGGGTTACAAAGAAGGTGAAGAGCAATATGAAGAAGGATGAGAAGGATAATACCCTGTTACAAAGAATGAAAATTTTCAATCGATTAACAACAGTCTACAAAAAGAGAGCAATGCAAGCATTCATTCAGCAACAGATATATATTTAGCAAAATAACCTCAAATGTCATAAACTTCAAAATTTGCGGGAACAATGCACGCATCATTGTTATGGGGATACCCCCCTTCCACATACTACAAATAAAAAGAAGCAGAAGATATATAAAGGACATCAGCATATCAAC